TCTACAGATAAAGAAACTGACACTCAGAGAGAGGCAGGACTGTAATACAGATGACTGACAGAGAGAAAACAAGAACCAGGCCCCTTTGTTCCCATCCTGAAGGTTCCAGGGGCTGTGAAGAGCCCCCAATTTGGAAGCGAGGACAAGGCTGTGGGTTAGGAAACAAGTCTGTGTCCCACTTTTGCCAGTAATGTAACAAGTCACATCTCTGAGTCTCTGTCACCAGCCTCACCTTATCTGGTACAGGGCAAGAACTCAGCAGGAATGTTCTGTGGAGAGATTTCAGGCAGAGCTGTAGTTGGACCCTGGACCTATGGGTGGGTACTAGGATCAGGGCCCCAGGCAGGTGTGTGCAGCAGCCCACAGACCCTTAGAGCCCATCCTGCAGAGACCCAGTGGGACATCTTACTTCCCTTTTCCAAGCCTCAGTTTTCCCACCTGTACAGTGAGTGGGGCACAGGAAAGGGGTTGGATCAGATAGATGTTCCCTGGCTTGTGGGCACAGACATTCCAAGACTCTGGCCTTGTGGCCCCAGGACTGGGCCTCCTGCCTAGGTATCGTGTTTATTCAGATCATCCTGGGCCTACAGCAGACCACCTCAGGCACCCCTCTGAACCACAGAGGCCTTCCTCTTTTCCTCTCATTGCCTTTCTGCCAGGCCTGTTCTCTGCCTCTACTCAGTGCCAACCAGACCCTCCACATTAGAAATGAGCTCAGTGGCAACTCTAAATCCTGTGCTTGGTCTCATTCTGCTTTGTCCCCGTCATATGCACATTCCTGCCCTCAGTCACTCATTTCTGAAACCTGCCTCTCAAGCGAACCCCTCAATATTCAGTTACCAAGTCATGTTGACTCAGCTAAATTAACCTCAAAGCCATCTGTTTCAATCAGTCCCCACCCATTGCCCTCTGCCCAGCCTCAGCCAGAAAGTATCTGATCTGGGAAGCCTGCAGGGGGTGACAGAGAATTGGGAAGCATGGTGTCTCAATGAAGTCTCTACCTTCCTCTCTCCTGGCTCTGCGTTTCTTGGCAATTTTCCAAAGCTGTCTCTATCTCAGTTTTCCTAACTATAAAATGGGAACAATTATCCTCTCTGCCTCAGAGTTAACTGAGGATCAAGTGAGTCATTATGTGGCAAGTACTCATAACTATACAACACATAATGCTTTCTGGCTCCTTTATGCCCATGCACAGATGCATATGCAGAGGGCGATTGGAGTCCTGTGTGCACATGTTCTATGTATGTCTTATGTGGGGGAGTACATGGATGATCTGTTACACAAGGGTACATCTCTGATGGGCACATGGTGAAGCACCCAGGCACTGGTCTGTGCTGTGTGCATGTGTGCTGGGCATAGCAGGAGTTGTGTGCACATGTGTCTTGTCTGAGCAGGCACATGGTTAGTGCCTACATAAAGGCTGGGCACATATCCTGCTAGCTATACATATGTGTGCTGTAGAAGGGCGTGTGAGTGAGTGAGTAGGCGGCATCTGGGTTGTCTGGACCACATGCATGTGCTCACCGTGTGTGTAGGCCTCCCCCTGGCAGCGATGCAGGCCCCCCCTTTCCCAGCCTGCTTGTGTCGTGGGAGCCTCAAGACCCTGAGGGAGGGAAGCTGCTGCTGGCGGATGTGGCCAAGATGGGCTGGATTTATTTAGATTAAGTTGGTGGGAAAGGAGTGGGGAATTGTATGTTCTTGTGAGCAGGAGGCCTGGGGTGCTGAGGATGACTCCCTGAGCATGCTTGCTTCTCTGAGCTTGAGGCCTCACTCTGACCCCCTAAGGGGTGCCTCAGACCATTGTGAGAAGCCAAACAGTCCCCTCTCTGGACCTGATCTGAACTGGGCCAATCGTGAAGGCTTCCTGATCACAATGTGTGTATGTGGCGGGGCGGGTAGCATCTTTTCCCTCTCTCTACTCCAGGGGTGTCTCTGGGATGGATGGCATGGCAAGCAGTGGGTGCCTGCTTCTTGACATGATGCCCATGCTGACCGAGTAACTTTATCTTAGAGTACGGATCCCTTCCCTGAAGAAGGGAAGTTGCCATAGGCATGCCATCAGGACAAGTGCTGCCTGGGCCTCCCTGGGGTTGACCAGAACACAGCAGTTTCTAGAAGCACAAATTAATCCATATGACATTGAGTAGATAGCTGGAGGTGTCCAGAGCCATCCAGATGGCCAGGAGCTTATGCTTCGTGCCTGAGTACCACTCTGATGAGTCTTCACCTATACAGTCCATACCACCCTTCTACATGTCGCCCCAAGTTCATTTGGTAGGAAGTCACCCCAAAAACTGTCTAATTCCCAGTTGTATAGAGGAGGAAACAGGTCATGTCTGGTCATACCAGGTCAGTGATGTTCAGTAGGTGGAATGAGGTGGGTCATAGATTCTCAGGTACTGTGACTTCAAGCATGTCGTCTGCATCTCTGATAAGCTCCTACTTCCTTAAGCCATTCTCTTCACACAGGGTGGTCAGAACCTTCTCTTTGACTTGTCAAAAAGGTAGAGCTTTTGAATAGGGACACCTATTTAAAGTGGCCATCCCAAACTCTCTGAATGATGGGCAAATGAGTCCCAGAGCAACCTGGAGATCCGCTGACAATGGGCTGGAGATCTCACAGTGAGGGCAAGGCCTAGTGAGGGGAAGCTGCTGTGCTTGTTTCAGAGAAAGCCAAATCAGTCCTGGCACATCTAGACTTGCATTTTCCCTCAGTTCATTTGCCCAGTCTCCTCTCCACAGATGGAACCACCGTGTATCTATGTGACTAGGTCACCATTCTGGGCTTCTTTGGGCTATTGCTTGCCATTCAGGAGGGTCTTTCTCAGCTTAGTCTTACTTTTAGTTACCCTGGCCCCAGCCGCTGCAGGACAGGGCCTGAGAAGACAAGATAGAGTACCACAAAATAGCAGGGTTGGGGACTGCATGCCATGAGGTCCCAGCCCAGCTTGCCAGAGCCAGGTCATCCTCCTTGCAGTGACCTCCCATCTCCTGGCCAGCAGGCCAAATTCCTCCTTTGGAATAATAAACAGTGTGGCCAGCCAGGGAGGCTGGGAGAGACCTGGAAGGCTGAGACAATTCCTCCCTCAGCCTGTGCTGCTAATGATTTTCTTTGGCCCAGATCTCTGGCAGGAAGTGGGGAGCTACAGGGGCACCCACAGAGGGACATTTGGGCCTCTGTGGGGCCTTGTGGCTCTGCCTGGGTATGCACTGCTGTCCAGCCCAACGAGGCCTGGTGTCCAGCTGGAGGGGCTAATAACAGGAGGGATGGGAGTTGAGACCTGAGGAAGTGGGTATCAGGATGTCTGGGGTTTGACCTGAACGATTCTAAGAGGGGAGACAAAGACCAGAGGTGTCCTTGGGCAGGCTGGTCCAAAGATAGGGTGAGAGAAAAGAAGAAGAAGAAGAAGAAGAAGAAGAAGAAGAAGAAGAAGAAGAAGAAGAA